CCCAACTGATCCCATGTGCCCAACCTCAGGAACAGGGTCTCACATCCAGCAACTTGTGGAGAAGAGCCCCTGAAGGCCAGCAGAGATTCCCGTAATTATGTTACAGGATAATACAGAAGTGTGTGGAGTTACTGTAATGAGAATTATTAAATGGAATGATGAATTGAAAGAAGCTGGGGGTGAGAAAGAAAGCATGTAAGAGAATGTTCGTTGCAAAAATTAGGATGAGAAAGGTATTGTACGATGTGTATTGAGGGGGGAAAGGCAGTTGCAAAGAATGTAGTCAGAAAGCAGAAAACAATAAGATTAAAAGAGGCACAGAAAATAAGTGATTTTGAGGGAAATAAATTGTTTTGGAAGTGGGTGAAGAGCACTAAACAAGGACCCTCCAAGAAAGCTCATGGAATTAAAAGTGATGAAATAATTTGGGATAAAACTGAAGTGAGGGAATGCTGGAAATGGTATTTTAAAGACATACTGTATGTGAGAAAATATGTCAAACTGGAACTGAAACAATTTGATGAAAATGAAATCATAACTGTTGTAAAAATGTTGAAAATGATAAGGCTGTGGGACAGATGATATAGCTGGAAAATATATGTATTTATTTAATTTTAAGAACTTGTATGGCCACCTATCTCACATAGTGATCCTAGGTGGCTCCCAACAACCAATAAGAAAACAACAAAATTTAATTTTAAAAAAGTTAGTTTGTAAATTTTTAATGTTTTAAATGCAGATCTGGTTTGAATATGACATCACCCTGTGACTTATTTAACAACAGATGTGCAGACTGCACCTAGGCCTAATGGTTGGAAGAATGCTATTATTGTTCTGCTATATAAAGGGAAATGTAGCAAGTGTGAATGCAAAAATTACTGTGGATTAGTTTGACAAGTGTCCCTGGGAAGGCGTTTGACAAAATTCTGAAACTTCTGATCAAATGGGTATGAGACAATGAGCAAAATTTGGAAAGTGCAGTATAGTTCTATACCAGATGAATGCACCCACAATGTTTTTGCTCTTACAAAGGCCACTGACAACTGTATAAATGTGAGAAAGCTTTAAAAAAAAAATTAGAGAAAGCCTATTACAAAGGAACAAGCTAGAATTATGGAATGTTTTGCGTGAATGCCTTGGTTGTGAGGCATAATTGTTGAAAGAAACAAAACATGACTTTCTGTGAGGATATTTTTCTTCCATTTTGTTGTAGATAATTGAGAGTTAGGTACGTCAGGTTATATATAAAGGAAAGTTGAATGCTGTGGGAACATGATATTTATTCAGTGTGCATGTAGTAAAACAAGAACAAATTGGGTAAAAAAATATATGCGTGTTGAAGGAATGTAACTGAATGTAAAAATGAGTGACTAGTATGAAAAAAGTACACTGAGATGGTTTAATTATATAGAGAGAATGAAGGACTGATTAAATGCAAAATACAGCATGAGAGAAGAGTGAATGAGCTGAGAGAAAGGGGAAGACTCAGAAAGTATTGACTGGCTGGCATTAATGGGATCCTCCAAGACAGAAAGTTGAGAAATTTAAAGGATGTGTGTGAAGGAGTGTATGAGTGTAGTGGAAGCAAGATAATCTGCAAGGATTGAAAGAAGCTATAGAGAGGTGTAGTAAATGGTGTTGACTAAATTAAGGTATGCTTCTTTTTCTTATGTTGGCAACTGATTTGACGAACTATTTCTTACTCTTTTTCTGTATTATATGTAACATGGCTTACCCTGGAAAGGAATCGCTTGATGGGTATGTACGCCTCTAAAACAACAAGAGTTCAAAGGTGTCTGGTTTATTCAATGAAATCCACATGTCAGTTGTGATTAACAGTGCATTCCTATGCATGTCTACTTAAGAGTAAGCCCAAACTAACATTGAAGTTCAAGTAAAGATGTTTAAGGTAAATGTCCTCTTCTTAACCTAATAGATAAAGGTTAAGGTTGATAAAAGAGGGAGAATTCAGAAAGATCTCCTAGACATAGATAAATGAGTAAAGATTATTTTTATTTTATTTTTATTTTATTTTTGTTTATTTAACCCTCCTTCACCCCGTCTTAAAGACACTATGATATATAATCTGTATGTGCAGATGGAATAAAGTGGAAACAACCTTTGCTTATGAAGAAGGACTCGCATGAACATTTTTGTGACTGTTAACATTTTACCAGAACAAAGACTAAGGCTGAATACATGTTGTTTTTATGTTCTCAGGAATGTGGTCTTATTTGTGGCTAGTTACCCACACTTTTAGATTTGAATGTAGATACTGTTGTGGTTTACAGTCAGCCAAGTACTCATTTGGTTGAAAATCACATGATCACTCAGATGGGAAGGCAGTTTTTGCTCTGTGGAATATAGAATAGCTGCTTTCAGGTAGAAAAAAGAATTTTTGCAAAATGCCCTGGATTCTTTCTGTGTATTTTCTCTGCCTGCTTTTTCCTGGAAATGCAGAACCAAAAGGTAGAAAATATCCAAACATTGTTTTATTGATGTTTAACTCTCACTAAGAATTCATGATATGGGCTAAGTTAAAAAATGACTACTCATTTGTATGGATGGTGATCTTATTTGTGATATAAAAAGAGAGGCTATTTTGGGTGACTGTGAAGGAAGAAATCAGACTTGAGTTTAGCACATTGGTATATATCAAAGTTTCCTTTGAATAATGTGAATAATCAGAATGTTCATATTGTTTATCTCAAAATCTGTATGCTTTCTTTATACCTAAGCATGACTTGTAGAGGTCTCTTTTGTGTATTTTTCTGCATGATGAGTGAACAACAAAGAAACCCAGTCTAGTAACTGGTTGTAGCTAAGTAGGACTTTCAATAAAATATGGTAGCATCTTGAGTGCTTCTGTTCAAAATTCCAGACAGTTGCATCTTCATTCAAGATATTCCATCTCATCTGGCTTCCTCTTCTCCACATGAACAACCAGGTGCTAATGATTTGTCTTGTTTTACAGCTGCTGTCATGGCATCTGTTCAGTGTTGGCAATGCTCACATAAAATAGAGAAGTTGAGTGTGTAAAAGCAGAAATTGTCTGGAAAAGCATAAATATGTATGTCTGGGTGTGGGATACAAAGTAAGATATTCAGGATTGGCTGAGAGATGTCTGGGAATATAACCCAGAAGTTAAATTACACGTATTATAAATTCTGAATAGTTGTATATTTAAAATGTGAGAACCTTCCTTTCCAAATGTAGTTATAAATAGTACTGTAGATACAAATTATGCTGTTAGTTTTTATGGTGTCACAAGAGTCTTTGATTGCTAGAATCCCACTGAAATTCCTTTCTTGGATTCTGACCAATTTCTGCAAAACTTCTACGAATAGCTGTGGCTTATAGAGATTGTTGCCTCTCTTGCATTATTAAACTATTTCATTAACTTGTCTTGTATTTTTTTATTATTATTTTATGTTTTATCTGTGGTAGTTGATGTATTTTATAATTGGTCTTGGAAAGTAAATAGCACTAACTTTCTCAGATGCAGCTGTCAAAATTAGGGCTATGTAAAGATGGCAAGGAGAAAAGGTGAGATGGTATGCACACCTTATACCTGTTGGCAGCTCCTTAAATAAACCACATCTGACTTGAGCTTGGCCAACTCTTGCCATGCAATCCCAAGGGAAAAGTGTGTTTAATGGTGACATATATCCTAAGTCACCTTCTCCCCTTCAGATTTGGATCTCTCCACAGCTCTGGTCAACATGTTACACTTTGGGGCATGTAAGGAATAAGAGAAATTTGATATTGATATTCAAACATGTACTTTGAGGAGCTACAATTCTTTCTGTCAGAATTTCTGCTATATAATAACTCCCTTATACAATATTTCTAAAAAATTTTAAAAGTATCCTAAAAATATAAAAGTTATATTTTGATATCTTCAGGATGCTAAGGAAGAACACTTAAAGTTATACTGTATTTATTCCTAAAATGCAGACTTCATATTTCACATCAAGGAAGTCTAATATTGCATAGAACTCCAACATAAAGGAATAAAACATGGAATAAATTTAAAGCTCAGTTAATGAAATAATGCAGTAAGGGAATCAAACATGAGATGAAAATAAAAAAGACAGACCTACACAGCTAAGGAACGGAACAGAACAGAACAGAACAGAACAGAACAGAACAGAATAGAACAGGAGTTTCTTTTGATTTCCTGTTAAGTGACATTAATAGATTTTTTAAATGTATCATTGGATTACTTAACTGCATTTCTTAGATTAAGAGAATAAGGTCTACTGTCAGAATTCAGTCACTCAGCTCAATGCTCAGATTTACACTTGGTCTTTCCTTTGAGGTCTATGTATAATTTTTTATTAAAAGTTTTAAGAACAATAATAATAACTACTACAATCTAAATTAGAACAGAGAAAATGAAAAAGAAAGAAATAACAGAAAAAGCTAAAAGTGCAATAAGAAAAGAAAATAGAGTGAAATAGAAAAAAAAAAAGAACAAGATATAAAGGTATAAAGAAGTAGCTTCTGATACTCTTCACAGCAGTTATTAAGTACAATTATATTTTAACCTCTCTCTCTAAAGTTACATCATGACTCTCTTTTTCCATCTTTGTTCATATGGTAATCTTGCCACAGAAATCATATACCTTCCATGGCTTTTCTTCTAACTGTGTATCCATCAATCCTAAAAGAAAAAGTTCTGGCTTCAGCTGAATATTAATCTTTAAAATCCTCTGTATCAATGTATGAATTTGAATCCAATTTCTTTTAGCTTTTCTACATGTCTACCAAACATGATAAAATGTCCCTTCATGTTGTTCACATTTCCAACATACATTTGAAATACTTTTATACATTCTAGATAATTTCTCTGCTGTCATGTACCAACAATACATCATTTTATAAAAAATTCTCTTTAATATCATTACTTAATGTAAATTTCAACTCTTTTGACCACATATTTTCCCACTGATCCATCTGCATATTATAACCAAAATTCTTAGCGCACTTTATTATACAGTCTTTAGCCTGTTCTTCCTCTGTTTCAAATTTCAACAAAAGTTTATACATTTTTACAATTACATGTTCATCATTAGTGCACAATTGTACTTCAAAGTCTGTCTTACCTTGCTCCATACTATAAGTCTTTTTATCCATTTTGAATCTTAAATGGGAAAACCATTGGGAGCTACGTATATGCTTCTGCTGTTAGGTGCTCTCTTGTTTCAATCTTATATTCCTCTTGATGATTTTCCAATAATTCCTCATACGTTAACAATTTCTCTTTGCCTGCTGTTTCTCTTCTATGGAATGCTTCTTGTGCTGAGAGCTACAGAGGTGTTTTCAGGCACAACCTGGGTTTATATCTGTTCCATATTCTCAATATGGCACATCTAATAAAATGATTTTTAAAATCCACATTAATGTTAACTTTATTGTGCCATAAGCATCCATGCCATCCAAACCTCAGGTTGTGATTTTCTAACTCTAAAAGTCTCTTGTTTCTCAGCAATATACATTCTTTCATCCAAACCAAACAATAAGCTACAAAATACAATTTCAAATCTGATAAATCCAGTCCTCTTCTTTCCTTTGCATCTTGTAATATTTTATATTTAACTTGTGGCTTTTTCCCTTGCAATACAAATTTAGATATATCTTTTTGCTGTTGTTCGAATGGTACATCAGTTGTCAAAACAGGTATTGTCTGAAACAAAAACAACATTCTAGGCAAACCATTTTATCATAGAGATTCTCCCTAACAGTGACAATTTTAATATTTCCCATCTTAACATATCCTTATTAATTTCATTCCATGTCTTAACATACTTATTTTGGTCTTTCCTTTGACTTCTATATTAGCACACCTATATTAAAGGTATGAAACTGCATTTTTGTCATTCAGGTTCAAAAAGGATGGACAACTATTTCTTTTTTTTTTTTAAATAAAATTTTATTGGTTGAATGTCAGGAAAATAAGAACTGGTAATTTTTTAAGTAAGAATACCATCCAAGTAAAAAGTTTTTAGGAGATCCTGAAGTTCTCCTATAACTGTTGAGCTGTTTAGATGTAACAATGGAGAGGAGTTTTAAGAAGAGAGCCTGGACACAGGAAAAAAAAAAAAAAGTATTCAAATTCTTCAGTGACAATACCGGATGTGGCATATGGCAGCTGAACCATGCTTCAAGAAGAGAAGGCACATTGAAAGAGGTAGCCACTGCCTTTAAAGCAGTTCCACAATGCCCAGGTTTTTTTTCTTTGCAAAACTATGCAGCAGAACACAGAAGCTCTCATTCTGAGATGTAGTGACAATAATAAAAAGCTAAATGAGAGGAAATGGCAAATTAAAATAAGCTTGTTTATTGTATATGCCACCTTCCAGCAGAGTTATAGCAGGTAGTATCCAGCAGGAATTGCAGACAGTCAGAACTATATAGTGTATGATAACACTCAGTGGCCAGGCTGATTCTAGTGTGAAGGAAGAAGTCACTCTCTGAGTGGGATGGGTGCGACTAAATTTGAAATATAAATAAATAAAATAAATAAGAACTGGAACTTGTGTTGTGTGTGCTGAATGCCTGCAGGCAGTAGCAAAACAGCCTGGAAAAATCTGAGTTTCTCCTGTGTCAAGACTGAAATACAACTGGAAGGATTTTATAACAGGGCTTCAACTTCAGATTTTGTATATTTAAATAGACTTGGAATAGGAAGTGGTGCACGTTAGAACTCTTAAGATCCATTGACATCAATATGGCAAGCACATAAATAATGTTCACCATCACCTTCACTCAGGAGATCTTTTTCTTTCCAGATGAAATGACCAGTCAGGAATTGATGGTTCTTACTGCTGAAGAAGGGCAGTGTGTCAATCTCACCTGCAGGTTTATCCATAGGATTGAAGGTCTGTATCTGATACGAACCCTTGGAAAGGCCATGAAGGTGCTATACATTACCCAACATGGTAAAAACAAGAGAGAATATCCTGCCTATGAAAATCGCACTGAGTATTTTGAGGTGAACAACACAGCCACCATCACACTGAAGCAGCTAAAGAAGAATGACAGTGATGTATACATGTGTATGGCAACCCTGACCATAGACAAGGGGCTTAAGCAGAAGAATAGCAGCCATATTCTTTTGGCAGTAGAAGGTAGGGGATGGGGAGAAAGGTCATGTACAAACCACTAACCATTTTTTCCTAATCTGGTGCTATCTAGATATCTTGGACTCTAACTCCCATTAGCCATGTTCTCTTAGAGGTCTGTGAAAATGAAATGTTGAGTGTTTGGGTACAAAAGTAAGGTGAGTTTTTAAAAAGTAATAAATGTGGATGACACTGGGGTTGGGGAAAGTGGTAATTTGTAAACTAAACTTCACTTACCCTTCCCAACTTTAGCATCTTTAGATTTGGTTCTAGTCCAGTATAAAAATGTGTTCATTCAAGTCAAGTACCTACAAATTGAAAGTAGTATATAAAAATGCATTATATTGAGGAGGATGAAAAGCAGAAAACATATATTGAGCAAACATGCATACAAAATATGCATATGGTATATATTTGAGATGTATATACTTCAGAATGTACATATTACAGAAAGTACATAACTGAGGAGTTGTTTTTTTTTAATCTCAAACTGAGGTGACAATGGGATGGACTAAATGTTAGACTGGAAAAAATTAGGCTCTTAAATAAACTGAAATTTTATAGACCAGAAGATTCAATTCAGACCTTGATTCAGTCATTCAGATAACTGCTTAATTTGCCTCATCTTTGTTTAGAGACTTTCTAATTCAACTTTAAGCCTACACCCCAATCTTAATTCAGAAATTGCTCATCTTTGAAAGTTAACACATTGATTGATTGATTTGTTTATTGATTTGTTTATGAAATTTATACACTGCTTCAATCTAATTGGACTCTATGAGTTTACAGAATATATAAGCAAATCACTACGTAAATACACACTCACATACATACCCATCACATTATTCTCTTTCACGGTAAGCAAAAATATATAATAGATGATAATCTTTTATAACAATTAAATGTAAATATCTGAGGTGTTGCATCCCACAATTAATAACTTAAATTTGGGTGAATTCTGGGAGGTGACGTTCACAGATCAAGGGGATGTCCAGGTTATAGAAAGCTGGGGTCCATTGTAAAGAGCTTTCTTAAAGATGGCTTCTAAATGAACTGGAACTCCCAGACCTTTCAGTTGGTATGATCAGAAGGAATATTATTCCTTCACATTTGGAGGCTGGGAAAGGTTGGTGTAAAGCACTTTGATAAATGTCCCATTTTCTTCACTACAGCAGCTCCAGAGAAGTATAGTTCTGAATCTCCCTGGATGCTGTATACTTTTATCTCTGTGTTAATGCTCTTGGTTATTATCTTGGGATCTTACATCATCATTCATATGAATGTAAGTATGGCTAATATCATGGTGTTACATTTACTAAGTTCCATCAATTTCCCTTCTTTCCTTCCTAAAAATTATGTCCATCAGTCGAGAAATGTCCCACAATAATATCAAATAATTCCTTTCCTGCAACAATGGATATTTATAATGCAAAAGAATTTCTAGTTTAATGGCCTCCAGGTTTCTTTATCTTAGTTATTCTATACCAGTGTAAGGACTGCAATAGACCTATATAATCATAATCACATAAGTGCAAGCTTGAAACAAAAGCCTAGTGGTTCAACACTACATTAATATTTGCTGATAGGTACTTTTGTTGCTTGCCACATCATCCTCTTTTAAGTGCTAATTGGTCACTATGTTCCTTTGTTGTTAGTTTCTACTACGTCTGCAGTGTAATATTATATCGTATGGGCTTTTAATATTTTTTAATGCAGGGCAGATAGTAAAAATGGTTATATGAGTTTATACCCATCTAAGAACATAAGCTATGTTGGATCAAACCAGAGGCCTATCTATAGTTCACTATTGTTTGACTGACCAACTGAAGTTTTGCAAGAGCCCGCAACCAGAATGAGTATGATGGTACTCCCTGGCCATTGTTTTTTAGAAATGTAATCCCTTCTAAACTGGAAGTAATAAAGTGACTGTCCAGCCCTAATGGCTACCTCATGTTTCCACCCTAATTCAAAGGAAGGAAGGAAGGAAAGAAGGAAAGAAGGAAAGAAGGAAAGAAGGCAGGCAGGCAGGCAGGCAGGCAGGCAGGCAGGCAGGCAGGCAGATATAACAGCCTGGTGAAATTTCAGATTCTTGCTAATGTCATTGGGAGCCTGAAAATGTCCAGCTATTTTATTGTCCTTCTTCCTATAGAGGCCAAGGCAGAAAATTGCTCAGTCCAAGAGTTATGTTCGGTGAAATGAAAACCTGTCGTGTCTGAAAACCATTTTACCATTCTTACATATTGATTTTGTCTTTATAGTATGATTTTATGTATTGTAATTGTTGTTGTTTTTATTTGTTAATAGCTGTTGTATTTATTTTTTATATCTTGTTTATGTTATATGCTTCAACAGATCTGCACACAGCACAGGGAACTGAGGTTGTTAGGTAACTTGGAAATATAAAAAACAAATCCCTTATGAGTAATGCATCTTAATTGCTGTCTTTTTAAAATAGATCAAGAAATGCTTCCAAAAAGAACATAGAGAGAAAATACAAAATTTGGTCTATGAAGACATGACTTGCAGCCTGAGGCGCAACAACCCTGAGACTAAAGTAAATCATTATGCTATGTAATATTGAATGTTGAATAACAAAATATCATTGAAAAATCCAACAAATTCATATTTGTTTCATTATTTGTGTTTTATTAATTTTTTTTTTAATGAGCAAAATGTATACTTTGAGCAACAGTTTGTATATAACATGTGTGAACCAATGGAAGAATTTAGAATTTGAATGGCAAAGTTCAAAAGCCCTGTTCAGGCATTCAGCTGAATGTGTGAAGCCCTCAAACTGGGTCAAGAATGGTGCCTACTGACCCCCACCCCCCTCTCTGACTTCCACAAATTTAGCTGGAGGTCTGAAGAGGACCCATATTTGCATTCGCTTGGATGGGAGAATAACCCTAGTGCAATTTGAGATTCTGATTTATTAGAGGTCCTGGAACGCCCACAAGAAGAATCAGGGAGTCTTGGTAGACCACAGATTAAGCAAGAATTGGCAGTGTGCTGCAGCTACCAAAAGAACCAATGCAGTTTTGGGCTGCATAGTGTCAAGATCACAGGAGGTGATAGTACCACTCTATGCTGCACTGGTCAGACCACATCTGGAATACTGTGTCCAGCTCTGGTCACCACAATACAAAAAGGATGCTGAGGAACTAGAAAGAGTGTAGAGAAGAGTAACAAAAATGGTAAGGTGCTTGGAGGTTAAACCCTATGAAAAGCAGTCAAAGGAACTTGGAATTTGTTTAGCTTAAAGAAGAGAAGGCTATGGGGAGACATGATAACAGTCTTCCAATACATGAAGGGGCATCACAGGGAAGAGGGAGTAGATTTATTCTCCTGAGCACCTGAGGGGAAGCTGAGAAGAACCTGACTGTGAGAGCTATTAGGCAGTGGAACAGCCTGCCTCGTGAAGTTGTGGGCGCTCCATTGCTGGAGGTCTGCCAGAAAAGACTGGAGAGCCATCCTGAATGGTCTGAGGATTCCTATCCTGAGCGAGGGTTGGGACTAGAAGCCCCACCAGATCCC